CTCTCCCCACCTCTTCTAAAGGAGGTGGTTTCATTTCTTTCTAAATCTGGTCACATGTTGCCATTCTGAATCACCATCTCTAGTTTGGCAGAGAACCAGGGACAGTCCACTCTGGTCACTTGGTCCAGTATGCTGCTGTGAATGAGTGAATGCATGTATGTGAGTGGATGACGATCTGAACCATCTCAGAGTTGGCAGAACTGGGTTTTAAATGGCCTCGGGGGTCACCAGCCTGCCTTAATGGGCCTCTCTGATGACAACAGTCAGAAACGCCTTCCCCTGAGACTAACCGTTTACCTTTATAAGTTATATCCATTTTTCTCCTAAATTTCCCCGAGGATCTGAGCATCCAGCTAGTTGGGAGGAGATGGGAGTATCTTAGCCGAGTCTGTTTTTCTTGGGCCTGCTGGGAAGGCTGGTTAAAGGGCTTTAGCTCAGGGCCAAGACCAGCCTCTTCCTAATAAAAGGGCCTTTCTTGGTCGAGGGCCTGTGTTCTCCTTTTGGCCTCCTGTCACCGTCTCAGTTCTCTCTCGCCCTCCTGGAGGTGACTGGACTGCGCAGGTCAGGCCTCCTCTGTGGCCCCCCCATTCCTTCTGAGCTATTAACCAAACGTGCTGAGTCTTGCACGTGGTGGGGAGCGGGGATTTCATGAAAGGCCTCGTGGAAACCGTGCCCCTTCATGGTCTGCTGCAGTTCCTGAGGCGCCCTGTTGAGTCTGTGTGTCTAACGTTTGGCTCTGTCAACATGGCTTGCCTGCGATCGTCACGTTAAGCCATAATCCTACAGTTTAAGGTATGTGCTCGTCACCTCCCTGCCTCCAGGCACGCAGGAAGACCATCTCACCTGACGGGGACCCATCAGTGGTTCTGGGATAGTTTTGGAGAAAGGAACGGGGGTGGGGGTGGGGAGCGTTCAGTGGGGTGCTCAGAAAGCATGCCCGGGCTACTGGTTTTCAGCTCAATGGGTTTAAGTGACAACTATGACCATGCTTTCAGAGGTTTCCCATTTCTGGTCCTACCATGAGCGAGCACACATCTCAGCAGAAAGGCTAGCCATTGAAGATGCTCTTCCCTAAGAAAAACCTCTCTGATTCTAAACACGGTGTGAGCATCACCCCACAAGGCTGTTCCAACCACTTTTAATTGGGAGCTTTGTAATCACTTTGATTATACTGTTGGAGCAAGAGAGGTATTTAACAGATAAGCTCCCCGGGTGTCTTCTGTGTCAGCGAGCAGGCGATCTTCTTAAAAGGAATCTGTGTTCTCTCTCTCTCTCTCTCTCTCTCTCTCTCTCTCTTTCCTATTCAGTTTTTGTTCTATATTTCTCGCAGGTGTTTTTTCTATGCACTTTGATCTTATCTGCTTTTATAATCCTTTTCCATGCCCTGATTTTTCCCTTTATTTATAATTTATATCCTGCTTATTTATACAAAGTATGTGAGGTTGCTTACATGATTATAACTTATAAATCAGGAGAGAGGAGAGAAAAAGGTTAGCGACGAAGAGAGCATTGTCGCAGGAATCCGAGATCCTTGCCACAGTTGAGCACTAGATTTGGTCACAGCTTTCCAGAGGCAAAAACAGAAAGCAGTGTTTATTCGGCTGTGGAGTTCTTTTTAAGTCTTTCCCCCCTTCTGCATGATTTCCATTTTCTTCTGCTCTTGCTTATCCTAAGAGCCGTTGGGTTTTCTTAGTGTCTGATATTTCCTGTGCCAGGGAGTTCCCACAGGGATGAGGCTCCCATCCCTCTCCCTCTCCACTCCCGACCCTCCCAACATCCACCATGAGTTCTGCCCAAAACTCATGGGCAAGATCACAGACAGTCCGGGGCTTCCAGCCGGGGTGAGGAAGCCGCCCTTGTTTCTTGTTGAAAGCTGAGCTCATGGGCGTTGGTGCAAGGGCTGGCCTCTGGGTCGGGGCCAGCCCAGACTTCCATCCTGGAGATCTGACGAGCACCTGGTGGCGAGTGGAGTGAAATCACGGGTGCTCTACTGCGTAACCATCACCCCAGGCAGGGGAAGCATCCCTCTCAGGACTGGGAACCCCTGTCTTGGCGAGAGAACCTGAGGTCGGGACTGTGTCTGACCTGCTTTGGGATCCCAGGTGCTGGCAGGTGAGAAGTGGTGTGTGAGTCCCCCCCGGGAGTGAGGAAGTGCGTCCTGTTTCTCTGAATATAGTTTCCATAGACGGTGGCTTTTGGGAGAGGATGTTTTAGGGCTGCACACTTAAATCTAGAGCAGTAAGTAGGAGGCTGTGCTGTCCAATCCACGCGTGACTGAGCACCTGCAATGTGGTCAAGTCCAACCTGAGGTGTGCTGAAGGGGTCAGGTATACGGAGGATTGCAAACCCCGGGAGAAGGACTGTGAAACATCTCAGTAATAGTATCGTCATGTACAACATCGCCACGGAATGCTGCTTACATATTGAAAGGATAATATATTGAATTATTGGGTTAAAGGAAATCTTACATTATTAAAATTAATTTTACCTGTTTCTCTTTACTTTTTAATGTGGCCACTCAAAAACTAAAATTAGGTGGCTCGCATGGTATTTCTATTAGACATCTCTGGTTGAAATGTCTAGAACTATAAACAATTTTTTTTTTTTTGCTGAGGAGTGGATTTCCATTGTGTCTTCTAACACCTGTGTTCTCTCTTTTGTTCTCTTTCAACAGATCTGACTCTCCACGTAGCATGTCAAGGACAAAATTAATCACCAATTCCTTCCCCCGCCCCTCCACCCCAACCCCTCTCCTACACACTTTTCTTTCCCACTTGCTTACCCAGCCATCTGCAGTACATCCGTTTCAGGTATTTGAGCTGTGTACACCCGTTTCAGGTATTTGAGCTGTGTAGAAGTTCTGTGTGCAGACGTGTGCTTGGACCACTCTCTTCATGAGAAATCTGAAGGGGTGATCACAGAAGATCCACTCACTCCTGGGAACCACCGCTGCGGACTCGGCCTCGGGCCTTGGGCCTCGGATGGTCTCAGGCAGCCCCTGCACTGTCCAGCAAACGCCCTAACTTGCCATTCAGGGGGTGCGGGGGGACAACCAAGTGCCGTGGAGGCAGGTGATCACACTCTGCTGAAACTGTCTGGTTTCCTGTAAAATAGACACTTTATATTTTTAGGGAACAAACAAAGTGCTGCTATAGGGTTCAAAATTTTCATTCTGAACACTTTTCCAAAACAAATTACTCCTAGGAAGCATTTTGACTACCCTGGTCACATCTTTGGATCTGTAAAGTACACCTTTTAGTATGACATCCGTTAAAATGCAAAGCAAATTTCTTCAAGGCAGAAAAACAATCTGACAGCAGCAATGTAGAATTTGTTCATTCAAACACATCTCTGTGAACGTGAAAAGTCATAAAATTCACCTCTGAGTTGTTTGCTATTGAACCGGCAGCGACGAGTCTCAGCCAGCCCGGGGTGAGCATCACTCCTTCAGAAGCGCTGGAAATGCCGCAGAGTTGGATGGGTGGAAGTGGGGTTGCCCCCTTCGCCCTGATCCGCCTGGAGTGGCATCTGGATGGCCACTTTCTCTAGGGAACCATCTGAAGCCTCGAGGGGGTATTGCTGCCGAAACCCAGGATCATTCTGCAGTTGAAAGAGGAAGCCCCGGGGAGAGTGTAATGGACAAATTTTCGTGCCTATGAATAAGTTGCCACAAATAAGTTATTTTAACTCATCATTCTGGCTGTTTGGGTCTTCTTTTTGGCATCAAATATAGGTTTTATCTTCTTAGGCAGAACTAGAAGAAATCAATATGGATGGATTTTAAAAAAATATATACCTGTTGCTATATTCAGATACATGAATCTAAACTGAATCAACTCTCCCTGGTGTGCATATGAACATGATGGATTCCCAAGTAGTAAAGTTTTCAGGGAAAATGACAAGGATTCAATTAAGTTGTTGTTCTGTGCTGCTACTGTTTTGACACATTTGAGGATAAGTCCATGACAACCAACCAAACTCGGTGAAGGCACCCGTCCTCCTGCTACTGTTCCTGCCCAAAAGGAGTACGCTGGCACTGCCCCGCTGCTGTCACCCAGAATGAAATGTGTGGGGGAGACGTTGGGCTTTCTAGTGGCTATGTGGACAGAAGATTGTTCAAGGTGCGTGTGCGCGTGTGGCGTGCGTGTGTGCATGTGTGTGTGTGTGTATGTGTGTGAGAGAGAGAGAGGGGAGAAAGCACTAAGGACTGAATTCACCTCCAAAATCCTGTATAAAATTTCCTAACAAAGCAAAGCTGCTTTATTTATTTGTTAAATGTTGCTTTTTGTTTGTGTGTGTTTTGTTTTGGGAGTGAGGAGTAAGGAGAGAAGAGGATGAATTCTACCTGAAGTATTTATTTGAAAAAGATGACAATTTTGCATCTTTAAAATCTTCTGTTTGATTTTCTTATGTTGTTGTCAGCACTTGTGCAGTATAAACTGCCCAATTGCTATTTGCAATCTGATAGAAGGGTCCTTGTAGGACAGGTTTTGCAGCCCTTACCAGGTGATAACATATGCCATATTTATAACCTTGCCTCTGATTTTAGATGCTAAAACATTGGTCTTTGAGAAGATTACCAATTACTAATTGTCATACCACTACTGTCTGTTATGCAACTGTATTACTTTGTGTTTGGAAATTAAACCAAGGTCAATAATTTATTTTTGGCTCTCTTGTTAATAGATTATTTTGGGTTTTTTTCCAAGGTAATTTTTTCCTGGGTACCCCTTTTCTACTTCTAAAGAATTGCATGGCCCTTTCATGTTTCAAAGAAACAGTCACTTGTAGTTCCGTATTTCTTGATCTCCACAAGGGACTCACAGAATTCACTTCACTTTTATTCACAGAGAAAGTTGGCTTTGATGTCTCTTAAAGATACTTCCGCTAGTTGCTGATCAGCCAGTCAGTTCACCTAGCTTTGATCTTTATAGGACCTCGAAACTAAGTTTCCTCACTGTGACCAACAGGCAGATTATTGGAATGGATCATACAGTACGTTCAAGCAGATTCTTAAGTATTACTTTATTAATAAGCTAATTTTGAGATCATATATTCTCTAGGCCACTTGTTTAGAAAGCCACATGTATGCAACTTTAATTTTTTTAGACTATTGCTCCATTACACTTGGATTCTAAATGTAAAAAGCCACACCTCTGAAGGCCAAGCCTATGGTTATATATTGGTTGTATGCTGCTTTTTGCTAGTGTGTGTGTGTGTGTGTGTGTGTGTAAGTGGTGTGTTTGTGGGGTGTGTGTGTGTACATGTGCACGTGTGCTTTTCTTTAAATAATTTTATATTTCATGCTACTTCTTGAATGTTTACTCTGATTCGTGAAGAGAATACTAGGTGGTTTATTCAGATAAACTCTACCTACAGGATAGTGGATTGTTAATTTAGAGTAATGCTGTGAGGGATATCAGATATATGGTTGGAGACTAAACTATATTGATGCCAAATGTGTTCTGGTTACTTACCAGAGACTTCTGTGCAAGCGCATCATCTCTTTAAACACTGTACAGTTGGCTTTTGTTGAATGGTGAGTGGTAAGGAGAACGTTAAGTGTAGATTAAGGGTTTTAAAGGAAATAGTATTATATGATTAAATTAGGCTTCATAGAAATATTGGGATAAGTGGAGAAATAAGAATGTCTGTCTAGAACGTAGCATCTAATGTATTTTGAAGCCCTAAGTTCACACAAGAAACTGATACTCCTGCCCAAGGCCAGACCAAGCCGTCACCAGGACTCAAGGAGGAGCTATGGGTTCTCCTTTCCTGCAGGAGCAACTGAAAGCAAATCAAAGCTCTCAACAGTCCCCTCTTTGCAGTGCGTGTTTTTAGCAGCACAGAAGACACGTTGGGGAAGTTTTTCATTGGCGAGGCACGGGGCGTGTTCACTTCATTCCCTTCCTTGGCTCACCCTGCATATCTTGAACAAGTTGAAGGAACCATCATAGACTACAACAGCTTCATTTAACATTCAACTTAGACTTTTTAGAAATATTACGGGCAAGGGCCAGGGAGCACTGCTCTGTGGAGTCGGACTGTACATGGCAGGTTATGTATCCGTTTTAACCAGTTTCCATTGGGTGTGGAGGTGAGGGGAAGAGGGCATCAGTAGAATTACTCATGTCTAGTTTGTAAAGTATGTAGTGTGTATTGCAGATGTATGATTGCTGGGCTCTGTGTATCTGTACAGTAGCTTTCACTTTAAAAATTGTGGGCAAACTTGGTGGTCTGAAGGGGAGAATGCAGTTTATATCCAGTGACGATGCTGTGATATAGCACATGTAACAAAAAATCTGGAAGTAACCCTCCCCCAGCCCATGGAAAATGGTTTCTTCTGGGTTCTAAAATGAAGACGTATGGATACTCTGGCAGACTGCATGTTGTATAATTTGAAAAATACTAAAAGTGGAAAATAAACTTGACTTAAACTTTGGCTGGTCTGTTTGCCTTTATTTGAGTCCAATGCCAGTGTTTGTGTGAGCCATTTTCTGGCTTCAGAGGAATTCATTTCAGTGACCTGGACCTCAAGTTCAGCGCACGACCAAAGTCTACCCTGTCCTTTTTGCCGTTTGCTTAGGCTGAATATCTGGTTTTAATTTTTTTTTTTTCATTGAAAAACCAAGAAAACCTGACACCTGTCCCTTCAGCACTCAAGCAATAGCGACTGATGTAAATAAACGTGTTAACTCTGAGTTAAAGCAGGATTGAGTTAAAGCTCCGGAGACACACCGGTGTCTTAGCCGAACCTCTTCTTGCCCGAGAAGGGCACTTACTCTAATAATGTGTTTTGGAGCATTGGCATTCCTCAGCTAATGCAGCGGAGCCCCGTATATGTTGAAAGATCACTGGCATCTTTGGAGAAGGGCTGGGTGTTTGCATTTCTGTTTAACCCACTGATTATTCGTATTAATGTGCAGTGCTGAGATCTCGAGGGGATGCTGGGAGCCTCTCGTTCTTGACTTGGTTAATGTTGCATGCAAGCCAGGCAGTATACTGCTTTAACCAATTACAAGTGGGAAGGATGGGTGCCAAATGAACATTTTATAAGTGGGATTGAGGGCAATGCGCACAATGTGCTTTTATGATGTCTTACCCATCGTCCAAGTGCTAAAGCACTTGGAAGAGTCAGTTCCCAGACACCAAGTTGTTAAAGGTGACTTAGGTAGTAAAACTACAAATGGGATGGATGAGTTTTTAGGCCCAAGCCTGCTTATTTAAAACGGGAAGGCAGTCCCCTGCCAGAACCCAATTACAAGGCAGAGTTCAATGTCATGGGAAATGCCCACAGGCCCCAGAGCTGCAGGCTTGCGCTGTTCCCAGGGCTCCGTCAGCGGCGCGCTGCACAGGGTGGGGGCTGCGCCTCGGAAGTCCAGGGCTGGGGCCTCTGGGAGAAGGTGGAACTGAAGCTGTAATCTGCTAAGGCAATTACCGGTGACATGTGCATTGGCAGGTTTAATTCTAGCACTTGTGACAGGTTTCATCTTGTGTCTTATGTACATAATAAAATAACAGGAGGAGGAGGAATCTCCTGGGTGACACATCAGATGAAAATGTGGGCTCATTTGGCAAAAGGCACCCTGAGCCACGGGATTTTTACTTTCCCTTTGGCACAGAAAACACCATTTTCTGTGCAGTTCGTTGGGCTCAAAATCACAGGAGACTCGCAGGTCTCCTCCCTGCTCAGCACCCTCCAAACCCTTCCCTTCCCCATGCTCAGACTGAAAGTGATTCCTGCAGCCGTGCGTTACGCTTTCAGAACGTACACATGAAATTAGAGCCATTGGCAAACTTGTTTTGGACGACATGTAGCAGCACCAGAACCACCTCATGCTCAGAAAGCGGCAACCAACAATGCATGCGAGCCTGTTCTGGCTGGGGGCCAGACACTGTTTTAAGTGCTTTACATGTATTAATCCAGCTAATCCTCCTAATAAGCCCACGAGGTCGGCACCATTATCTCCGCTTTGCCCAGGAGGAAACAGGCACAGAGAAGTTAAGCAGCTTGCCCAAGGTCTCACAGCTAAGAGGAGGAGGGGGAGGCAAGACTCAAACCAGGTGGTCCGGTCCCAAGGTGTGCGCTCTCTGCAGGTAGTAACCACTTCAGAACGATTGTGTGTGTGTGTGTGTGTGTGTGTGTGTGTGTAATGCCTCAAAAAACCCTTTTGTGAAGAATTGATAAAAAGTTGTATAACTTCACAACTTTTGTTTCCTCCTTTGATTGGACTCTGAGACATCATTGTGTGAGTCCCTTTAAGCCATCAGCTGTATCTAGGCAAGAATCATGGAACCGGTAATGAAAGAGGATGCCTCAGGGCCGGGGCGGGGGGCGGGGGGGGGGCTCCTAAAGCAAGGCTGAGTACCCGCACAGTTGTCGGAAGCTTTTCCATAAAGTAACAGACACTTAGACATGAGGCAGACACTTCAGACTGTGTAGTGAGAATCCAACTGATCATGATCCATGTCGACGTTTTTCTCTTTAGGACATTATCTCTGGTTGCTTGTTTGAGTACAAAGCCTATATACCCCTACTTCTTAAGCGAAAAATAAAGCAGGGTTCTCTTGCCCCATCTCAGCTCGCTCCACTGGGGGTCTGAGCGGCACTGGTTGGGTTCTCTCATCCCCAGGTCTGTGTGAGGCCGTGGAGGAGGCTGTTCAGGGAGCCCTGCTGGTAATCACTGCCCTTCCTACCCCCCACCCCCATCGTGAAGATGAATAGGGTCTCACTTTAGTGCTGTGGGTTTAGAACAAGTAAACATGCCAGTCATACCACACCTGCACATGCAAGTCCAGCTGCAGGAGGGATGGGAACAACACAGGCGGCTTCTCCTAGGAGCCCTGCTTCGCCAGACTCCAGCGGCACTTCTCCTGTCCGAGGGTGCTGCTGATGCAGGCTTGGAGGGACAGGTTGATGGCAGAGTTTTCTAGGCCAAGGGATGCTAACCTTCAGCCAGTGCCAACAGGTTCCTCCCACCCCCCAACCCAGAAGACCCAGGTGTCCTTGCTGCCCTGCAAAGCCCCCTCCTGGGACACCCCTGCACACTGGCTCTCAGGCCATGACACCGCTGAGTACGGATGCTCCTCGACCTCTTTACTAGGGATCACGTCCCAACGAACACATCCTAAGTTGGAAATACCATAAGTCAAAAATACGCTTACACACCTAACCTGCTGAGCAGGAACTTTGACGTGCCCAGAGCACAGGGCACTGCAGGTACCGGTGCTCATCCTCCGGGCTCTGTGCCTGCCCAGCATCAGGGGAGAGTAGGTGCCCTGCGTCGCCAGCCCAGGAAAAGATCACGGCACGGCGTTCGCACCATCCTACAGTCAAAAGATCGTAGAGTTGAACCTCTGCAAGTCGGAAACAGTCTATGATTCTGTAGAGGTAAGAAATGTCCAAACAGTCAATTGCTAGGAAGCAAAATCTCAGCGTATGGAGAAAATGCCCTGAACATGGCAGTTTTACCATTTATTTTACACACCGGAATGAAGATGATGTAAGGGGGTTACTTGAAATCCAATGGTGATAGATTAGGGAGGCAGAGAAAGCCAAGTGAGAAACCTCTGGGATTGGATAAAAAGTAAAACGGAAGGACGCATACTGCTTTTACACTGGTGGGTACAGGAGAGTTAACAATTAACATTTACAGCACAGAGAGATGGTATGTGGGGGAACAGGTAACAGTGAGGGATTCTTGGGCCTCATGCCCTGGTGGGAGTTGTGCCCTGGGGGGTCTGGGAAAAGGGGATTACTCTGGCATTCCAAGGAATGTTATTGTAGATGCAGCAGACAGGCTCAGCTACAATGAGGATTGACCTTTGTCAAGGAAAACACCAGCTTAGGCCATGACTGCCCGCCATGACTCACTTTTGGTTAGGCAGTTTTCCTCTCAGGCCAGCCTGTGTGGGTGCTTGAGGCCTCTGCGCGTGTAAGGCCTGCCATGCAGGCTCCCCTGAGCTTGGAAGGTGAGCTGTGTGGCCCCTTTTACGTCCACAATTCCAAAGTGGGAAGAATGATGAAGCTGGAACCTGGGTTTGCCTGTGATTCCCGTCGAGCGGCTGTGGGAGGCTGGTGGAGGGCTAACTGCCCCGCATCCCAGGGCCTCTCTGCGCTGTGGAGAGCGCTGGCCCACTGCCTGCTGCTGCTCACCTTTGTGATGGGGATCAGCTGGGAAACTGTGCAAAGTGCTACTCACGTGTCAGGGATCGAATCATCAGAAACGTCCCAGAGTTGTTTTCGCCTCAGACCCGGGCTGTGCCTTCCTGTCAGCAGCTTTGCTTCCAGTAGGAGGAGCAAGTACGTGCGGAGACAGGATCGCCTGCTTCTGCCCCTGAGGTCAAACCTTGTCCTAGTCGCCGTTTAGGGTTCTTCCTTTCCCACTCCTCCACCCCCTTCCTCTTGGGGAAAAGCCGTCTTAGGCTATTTCAGGGGTTGACCGCAGAATCCCTCATTGTTACCTTGTTCTCCCACATACACACCCTGCTCTCCCAGTAACCCCACTGAGGGCCTTTGGGGCCAGTGCCCATACTGTGTGCCCGGGGGCTGTTCATACCGGGGCTCCTGCAAGGTCCCGTGTGGGATCGTGGGGTCCTGAGTCGGGTCCATTGGCTTCCCAGCAGCCACAGCTGTTGCAGAGCCCGCTCCCCACCGCATCCTTGCAGCCGCTTAACAAGTTCCCCACAGAGAGATTAGAGGAGCTCACGGAATCACTTAGCCAAGCTGCTACACAAAAGCACCCTTGGCTCTCGTGCCAGCGTCTGGAAACAAGCTGTTTGCTTCCTCTGCTGAAGAGCCTGTGTGAAGGCCCCTCCTGGTGCCGCACCCCGGAGGCAGGTCTGTCCTCTGCACGGGGGCCGGCTGCTCCTAAACACGAGAGAACCGTGATCATGGCCTCTGCTTTGTGCTCAGTTCTTTTCAGACCTTAGGCCAGGAGAAAACCACAGTCCAAAGAGGTGAAGTACTGTGTCCAAGGTCCCGCCTGTGGCTGTTTTGCCTCTAGAGCTCGGGTTCCTTCCGTGACAGCCCTCGGCTTGCCCGTCTCAGTTTTTGCCATTCCCCGTCCCCCCCTAAGAGTTGTTGTAGATAAATAGTGCCCTTTAAGGTGGTTTTCGCTTCACTATATTGAGCCAATACATTGGGGCATTCTTGAAGACATAACGTATATGTCACCAATCCTCAGAATAGCAGAGAAAGGTGCAGAAACACTGGGAATTGTCTGGATGTTGTGACTATCCTTATGTCACATGGAGAGACCGAGTCCAGACCTTGCTCAAGTCAGGTTTCCCCCCGCTGCACCACCCCTCCACCTGCAAACAACCGTAACTGATAGCAGCGGAAGCCTCTCTGACTGTGGTCAAGCTCTGCTTGTTATGACTTGGGTGGACATTTGTTGTGTGTGTGTGTACTATGTGCCAGGGCCCTGGCAATCCAGGGTG